CCGCGGTTCAATCCCCCAGCACCACATGCCAGCCAGCCCCGCCCCCTGGTGGGCTGAGCTGGCCACACACACACACCACACACTCTCTCTCTCTCTCTCTCTCTCTCTCTCTCTCAAATAAATAAAAAATTAAATAAATAAAATAGAGCTCTTGGGCCAGCCAGATAGCTTAGCAGATTAAAGCACTTGCTTAGGCAAACTGTCTGCAGGGGCCGGGAGTTTGATCCCTAGCCTGGCCTGCTGTGCTGATGCTGGTGCCGGTGCTGATACTGGTACTTGTCCCCAGCCCTGGCTCTGGCCCAGGGGCTCACTAAGAGGGCAAATGAGACTGGACGTGGTGGTACGTGCTGTAACCCCAGCACTTGGGAGACCGAAAAACAGGAAGGATCACTATGAGTCCAATCTGTGTAGCGAGACCCTGTAAGACTCTGTACTAAATACATAAAAATAAATAAATAAAAATAAAAAGCTCTTGGGCTAGGGAAATAGCTCAGTGGCACAAGCAACTGCCTGGCAAGTGCAAGGTCCCGAGTTCCATCCCTGGTACCACATGCCATGCTGGCCACAGCACCCCAGGGACACCATGCCTACCCTGGAACCGTGTGTGGTGGTACATGCCTATAATCCCAGCACTAAGGAAGTTGGGCAGGATCACTAAGAAGATCACTATGTGTCCAAACTGCATAGCAAGACCCTGAATCAAAAAATAATAATAAAAATACATAAATAATAAAAATACATAAATAATAATAAAAATACATAAATAAAATAATAATAAAAATACATAAATAAAATAATAATAAAAATACATAAATAAAATAGAGCTCTTGGAGCAAAGGGATATAGCTCAGCAGCGCAGCGCATACCTCGTAAGCACAAGGTCCTGAGTTCAATTCCCAGGGCCCAAAATTAATTAGTTACTTATTTTTACCTCTAGGGGCCAGGAGCAGCGTAAGTGCCTGCCTGGCAAACGCAAGGTCCTGAGTTCAATCCCTGGTACTGAAAAAATATTTAGAGCCCTTGAGCCAGGAATGGTGGTATACTCACATAATCCCAGCACTTGGGAGGCTGAGGCAGGAGGATTAACATGGGTTTAATGCTAGCCTTGGCTACACAGTGAATTCAAGGCCAGCTTCAACTACATAGCAAGGCTATCTCAAAAAACAAAACAAAAAAATGAAAACAAAAATCAAAAGTGAAAAAAGGTTAAAATAGAGTTCTTAGAGCTGGTGGACCACTTTACCAGCATGTACAAAGCCTTGAATTGGATCTCCAGCACCACAAAAATAAAGCATAATAAATTTTAACTGATACGGTGGCTCCCACTCAGAATTCCAGCACTCTGAGACTGAGATGGAAGGATTATAAATTCAGGGTCAGCTTGGGCAACTTAATGAGTTAGCAAGACCCTGTCTCAAAAATTAAAAAAGATGGGACCGAGGAGATAACTCAGTAGAATAAGCACTTGTCTGGCAAGCACAAGGGCCTGAGTTCAATCCCTGGTTCTGAAAAAAAAAAAAAAAAAAAAAATTAAAAAAGAGCCAGCAAGCTAGCTCAGCAGACTAAGCACCTGCTTTGGCAAGTGCAGGGACCAGGGTTCAGATTCCCAGTCCTGCATGCCGCGCCAGCCCCACCCCCAGGGTGCTCTGGGCCTGGACCAGCCTGGACCAGTCTGGACGTGGTGGCACATGGCCCAGTGCTGGGGAGGCTGAAAACAGGAGGATCACTGAGTACGAGTCTAAGGTGCATTGTGAGACTAGTAAGACCCTGTATCAAATATATAAATGAAAAAACAAAAATTTAAAAAGGCCTATGGAGGGGCCAGGAAAATGGCTCAGTTGAATAAGCACTTCCCTGCCAAGCGCAAGGGCCTGAGTTCAATCCCCGGTTCCGCAAAAAAAAAAAAAAAAAAGGCCTATGGATGTAGCTGAGTGTGAAGGCCCTCGGTTTAATCCCTCATTAAAAAAACAAAATGCATATGCCTTGCCTTATTTATTTATTCCTTTCCTTATGAATTTGTATTCATTTACATGAGTGCTATCTCCTCCCTGGTACGTCAGGGATTGTCTATGGTGTCCTCAAACTGAGCAGAGTGTACCATTAGTAGGTACTCAACAAAGAAGACTGTCTGCCCAGCTGCTTCGTACTGTCCTCTCACTCCAAACTCCTGCAACTTCCTAAGCTTTCTCACCTCAGGGCCTTGTCACATGCTGTTTTCTCTGCTCTAGCCCCTACTCCATTCTTCACCTGGCTAAATTCTACTCGGCCTTCAGTGCTATCTCTTCAACAAACCCCTGCAATCTTCTCCCAACCCTAGAACCCTTTCTGTTGGTCTTTACACCCTTCGTCACTCTTCAACCTGTTAATACAGGTGATGGTTTCATTAAAACCTGCATCCTCCATTTAACACATCACGTCACCCTCACGGCCCTCTCAGACCCCGAAGGGCCCTCCCATGAACCTCGGAGGCCCATTTTCTTCTCAGTCTGAGAGAAAGTAACTCCTGCTTTACTCTTAGCTCTAAACATGGTATCAAAGGGATGAAATGAGTCACTCCATGAACTTCTAGGGCTCCCTCCTCCCTTCCAGGAGTCTGTGGAGCTGCAACTGCCTTCCCATGAGCCTCTGGGGCCAACAGTCCCAGTAGGAGGCCATTATTTTTGTGAACATCCTTGGGCATCTCTCACGCACAGGTTCCATTGTTGAGCTCATTACTCCCCACATCTGCTCCTCTTGTAGGCTGCATATCTCCCGACGGGCCCAACTCCAGTTCCCGGGATCCATCTTTGCCCAACAGGCTCTCCCCTCCCCTCCTCCTCCTTACTAAGCCACCTCAGAATTCATACTAAGCACATATGAGACACAAGGTCCTAGCCTAAGCACTGTACATTTTATCCTCCTTCGTTCCATTAACAGCCCTGTGAGAAAGGTGCTCTTGCCCGACATGGTGGCACACCCTTATAATCCCAGCCCTTGGGATGCTGAAGCTCCAGGAATATCCCAGCAAGTTTGAGTCCAGCCTGTCTCACAAAAAGAAGATAAAAAAGTAAAAGAGAAAAAGGAGGAAGAAAGGTGATTTTTTTTTTCTTTTTTTGTATTTTAGGGAAGGGTCTACTGTGTTCAGGGTCTCACTACTAGATCGGACTCGTAATGATCCACCTGTTTACAGCCTCCCAAGAGCTGGGATTACAAGAAAGGTGATCTTGTTACCCCTATTTTTTTTTTTTTTTCCTGTTGCTGTTTTTGAGATAGGGTCTCACTGTGTAGCCCAGGCTGGCCTTGAACTTGTGGCAGTCCTCTTGCCTCAGTCTCCCAGTGCTGGGATCACAGGCATGGGCCATTATGCCTAGTTTGCCTCTACTTTAGAGATAAGAAAACAGGTTAAAAGGGCAGGGCTAGAATTCCAATCCAGACAGCCTGCCTCCAGAATCCTTTTTCAAAAGAAAGTTGTGAGCTGGAAAGTGGGGTAAGGAAAGGCAGGTAGAGTGAGCAGAGACATAATATACTCACTCTGGAACGTTCCAGGGGGGCCCAGAGCCCCCTGACCAAAACTGGAATAGTTCAGTGGCCTAGAGAAGAGACAAAGAGAGGGGATTAGTTGGTCTGTTGGCAGCTGCACCTCCATCCCTCCAGCCCCCAACCCCCCAGTCCCCAATCTAGGCACCTGAGGACCAGCAGGCCCCAGTTTGGCCTGCAGGGAAGGTGCAGAGATGAGCTGGGCAGACGACATGGTAGCCATCGTCTGGAAAGCCTTGTCCTTGGAAACCTGGTCCTGGGAGAGTTGGAGATCCGTGTTAATGGGGCAACCTAGTCAACACAGCAAGGGTGGGACCACAAGTGGGTGAAGCAAGGATGGGAAGAAGCAGACTTGGGGAGTCCAGGCAAAGGGCAGGCAAGGATGGTGTGGAACCCTCTGCCCTTCCTGGTCTCCTGGGGGAGGGGACAATCATCTGGGGGCAGAGTGGATGGGAGGAGGAGCAGGGGGACTTACCACATTCAGGGCCTGCCAGAGGGGGTGGGGGAAGGTGCCAAGGGAGGAAAGAAAACATGATTTAGGAAGTAAAGGCTGGACTCCCCCACTTCCCTGCCCTACCAGCCCGCAGGGCCCGCCACCCTGAGCTGAGCAAAGTGGGGACTGAGGGATGGGTAAGAAGAGAACAGAGGTAGCCAGCCCTAGAGGAGAAACAAAGGATGGTAATGAGAATTTCTAGGTCAAGAAAGAGCCCGGGGCCAGGGAGATGGCTCAGTGGAATAAGCGCTTCCCTGGCAAGCGCAAGGGCCTGAGTTCAATCCCCGGTTCCGCCAAAAAAAAAAAAAAAAAAAAAAGAGCCCGAGGTAGAGGCTTCCCGATGCCCAGGCAACAGGAAATGAGAACTTCAGGCCCCAAGGGAATAGGAAGTGACTGTTTCCTAATCCAGACAAAACAGAAAGGGAACAGAAAAGGCATAGAAAAGACCAGAGGTAGACTTAGGGAAAAAGGACCGCTTCCAGGCATAAATAAAGAACAGGAAGCCACTGTCCCCAAGTCCTAAAGAGACGGAAGAAAAAAACCTCACATTCAGAGGAGTAGAAAATGACGATCTCAGCCCCAGAAGGAACAGGAAATCCAGAGGATGAAGAAAAGAAAATGAGTATGAAAATCTCTAACAGGAAATGAGGATTTCTGAGCACAAAAGAGCAGGCAGGTCACATGGGGGGCTGGGACATGGGACAATGAACCAGAGAAGATGGGGGAAGGGGGTCCTCAGACCACAAAAGGGAAAAAAAATGAGACCACTGAGAAGGGACAGGAGCAGAGGAAAGGGAGGGTGACAAGGACAGTAGCCAAGGAACAGGCTTGACAACCCATCCTCACTTGTCCTGACCCAGTCTCCACCTCTCCCTGCAGCTCTCTCCCAAGGAAGGATCTCAGCACCCACCCCTGATCCTCTGGGCCTCCCACCCATCCCTCTGGATCTGCGGTCATCTCTGGGTCTCTCCATCCTCCCTCTCTCTGTGTCTGTCTCTCTCATCTCTGTGCCCCTCTTTCTGGATCTCTGTCGCCCTCTTTCTCTGGGTCTCCGTCCTCCTCTCTCCAGGTCTCTGTCTGCCTTGGCTCTTACCTTCAGCTTGGACTGGATTTCTCTCGACTTCCTTCGAGCCAAAACCTGGATGTGACTAGAGACCTGTAAGGGTGGATGCAGAAGCAAAGTGGAGCCACAGCCAGCACCCCAGCACCACTCTTCTTGCCCTCCACCCAGAGCTCCTTGACACGAAGGCTGACAAAAGCGCAGGACAAGTAGGCTGGGCCCTTCCCAGGAACTGGCTACCTCAGGGACCACCTCTGTCTTATCCCCATCCTCCCCTTTTAGGCTTTTTTGATCTCCAACTCTGCTTCTAAAACAACAGCTACAGAAATTACCCCCAAATAAGCAGTGGAATCGCACTACCAGGCACACCAAGAAGCAAGGCAAAGGCCCATAAGCCAGGCCCTCCTTAGCCAGAGAACCCACAGGAAGGAAAAAAGCCAGCCCTGACAGAAGCCCACAAGCCAGCCTTGAGACCTGTTTCCGAGTCCGGGTCTTCCCAGTTCTGAGCTTGATGTAGCGGGCAATCAGTTCATTTCGACCTGAAGAGGCAAGAAGAGAGTTAGATGGTTAGCAGGAATTCCCAACTGAGCAAAAAACTGGCATCTCCAAAGGGCTGGGGCCAGCTGGGCTCCTTGCCACATACTGTAACCTTATGCAAACCATTAACCTTCCTGCGCCTCAGTTTCCTAGTCCTTGCAAATGATGACACTAGTTCCTAGCCCAGAGGATGAGACAGAGTTTTACATGGACAGCACTTAGGGTGCTATCAAGGTGGTTATTGTTACTATTACCCAGTGGGGATCAGGACAAAAGGGATGGATAAACTCACCATACATCTTGCCTTCGTCGGACAGGATGATTTTCCGGCGGCCACAGGGTGGGTAGATGGCCAGGGCCTCCTGGAAGCTCTGCTCAATGTCGGGGCTCCAGACACCCTCTGCATCTGGGCCACCATCGCCCCCGGCCCCCTCGCTGCCACCCGTGCCTTCCTCACTTCCTTCCTCGCTGCCAGTCCAGCCGCTGCCATCCTCCAGGGGGGCCCCAGCCCGGGGTTCCCCCATCTGGGCCTGGAGGAACACAGACCTCAGCAAGCTTCCCCGGGCCACCCCAAGAGGCTCAGAATTGTAGGACCGGAGCATGGAGCCCTGGGTATGAAGAAGGGCTGGGCCTGGACCCCCACGTCTGAGGACGAAGGCTGGGCCTGGACCCTTGGGTCTTAGAGGAGAAAGGGGATGGATTTCTGGAACAGTTTGGGAGAGGAAGTTGTTCTCCCTTCAGTTTGCAGAGGAGTTTGCACTGTGCCGGAGCCTAAACACTAACAAGTAATGCCTAGGGCGAGGAGGGCTAAAACTCCGAGAGTGGGATAACAGCTCAAAGAACACAGAGTCGGGTCAGCTGCGGGAAGCAGAGTGTGAGTGAAAGCGCCCAGGCCCACCCCAGAACAGGTGTTAGGAAGCCAGCAGCAGCTGCTAGAACAGGAGGAGGGGCACAGGCCCTGCACAGGCTGAGTGCAGACCCAGAGAGGGGACAGACACCAAAGGGGGGAGGGCAGCAGAAACGGAAGCGGGGGACGACAGATTCAGGGAGGGGGCAGAATCCAGAGAGGGAGAGGGGCTGGAGCAGAGACCCAGTGAGACAGGCGCAGAGATTCAAGGCGAAACTGATGCGGATAGACCTGGAAAGAGCTACAGAACCACAGGCTGGGGGACAGGGGCGCCCACAGAAGCACAGCTGGGGGGACAGAGGCGCCCACAGAACCACAGGCTAGGGGGCAGGGGCGCCCACAGAACCACAGGTTGGGGGGCAGGGGCTAGGGCCATCTGGAGAGCCAGAACAAAGGGCCCAGGCGTCCCCTCCCCCAGCTTCCCACAACCCGCCGGGGGCGGGGCTGCCGGCCTGGGCACCTCCCCTCCAGCCCGGCCCCGCCCCTTCCCCTCCCCCTACGCCGTGGGCTAGATCCAAGCCAAGTTCCCTGTGACTTTCCGGAGGCCGGGAACAGGGAAAACTTTTTCCAATACAGCCCGATCCCGCCTCTCTGGAGGCTCCAAGTCTTCCGCAGCTTTCCCAGGACCCCAGAGTCCAGATCTCCAATCCCCTTCACCCTCGAACCCTAGACCCGAGGTGAAGGCAGACAAAGACCCGAGGCCCAGCCAGGGGCGCTACGCGTCCAGGACACCCCCCTAGGCCAAAAGCCCAGCCCAGCCCTCCCCCATGTGGTCAGACAAAGAGACTGAGGCGCTCGGTAGGAAAGATTCCCCCCTGATTTCCCGCCCCAGGCCTCAAACCTCAAAGGGACAGAAAAGAAGATCTAGGGTGCCCTGCAGCCCTCCCTCGGCCACCCGGGCGGGGGCTCCCCGTGTTCAAGAGGGGAGCCGGACGCCTACAAATCACACCCACACACCACCTCGATCAGAAACACACACGAGGTCTTTCTTGTGGCGAAGTAGCACCGGGACTGCGCCGCGACCCTCGGGGTCCCAGACCCAGGCCACCCCGCGCCCCGATTGTACGCGTCCCCAGCGCCCCAACTCCGCCAAAGTTCCCACTGCGCCCGCGCGCGCGCAAACTCGCGCCCCGAGCCGAGGGGGGTGCGGGCCATTCCCAGAGGTTCCCCAAACGCAACCTCACCTCATCCCGCGTAACTTCCCACCCCAACTCACACACCCCAGATCAGGATCCCGACTCCCGCCAGCGCCTTCCTACCTCCCGGCCTGGGCTGGGCAGCCGCGGGCGGGCGGGGCGCGGCGGCGGAGAAAGTTGCCGGGAGCTTTGTTTGGGAAAAGTGGGAGGGACCGAGGGGGGGCGGGCCCGGCGGCCGGCGGAGGGGACGGGATCCGACAGTGACAGTTTGGGGGAGGATTCTCGCTCTAGGAGAGAAGTCTTAACTGCGGACTGGGTAGAACTCGGGAATCCGACGCTTGAGTCCCCAAGAGGGTTGGGACCTCCCGGGTCTGAGCGAGGAGGAGGCTGGGGGACCAGGACTCCGGGGTCTGAGAAAGGAGGCTGGCCTCGACCTCTGGGTCTGCACCTGTAGCGACTCGTGGCAACCCTCTAGGATGTCTGTGTGTTGGGGATTGGAATTTAAATAAACACAAAAGAATATTTGCTGTCAGCCCCAAGTATATTTTTGAAGATTAGACCATTGGGATAGGTCCAGTTGACTCCAGTGCAACATGGCTTCCTAGTGACCTCACCGGGTTAACAATGGCGGACAAGGTACTGGAAGGTTGTTGGAGGTCCCAGGAGTTGCCTGCTCCTGCTCACATGCAGCAGTGACCTTGAGGCTGTGGTTGTCTCAGGACGGGACAGCCACTCAGTCTGAGGGAAGAGGGGTTAATAGCATGAGTCCAAATTCTTTAAAAATGGAGGACTAGGGGGCCAGGGAGATGGCTCAGTGGAATAAGCGCTTCCCTGGCAAGCACAAGGGCCTGAGTTCAATCCCCGGTTCCGTCAAAAAAAAAAAAAATGGAGGAGTGGCTGGTGTGGTGGTGTACGCCTGTAATCCCAGTCCTCCAGAGGCTGAGGAAGGAGGACTACTAGGAGTTGGAGGGCAGCCTGGGTTACATAGCTAGACCCTGTCTCAAAAAAAAAAAAAAAAAAAAAAAAAAAAAAGAAACAAACGTGCATCACAAAGTGCTGCCAACTGAATTCTGCGCTCCTGAGGGAAAGTCTGGAACCTTGAAAAATGATGCTGCTGGAGAAAGCAGGGTTTTC